CTTGTTTTATTTATTGTAAAAAGCATTTTTACTAGTAAAATGAAGAAAGATCTTATTTGGTATTGACACAAAATATGGAAAATACTTATTTTTTACAAGTGTATAATATCTATTGATAATCTTTTCCCCACTGTGTGGGGTGAAACTGTGTCTAATAAATTATTGTTTTATTATGTGGATTTAGTATGACATATGTTTTATAGACGATATGAAGCAAGAGATTATATAGTTTATAAGCCACACTGTGATTGTTGAATTTTAATCCTTTAGCATAATTTACCACCAGAAGTATGGGTATTTTTGTCATATGAAGTCATAATTGTTCAGGTATACTTTTATGAAACTGTGTCTAATAAATTATTGTTTTATTATGTGGATTTAGTATGACATATGTTTTATAGACGATATGAAGCAAGAGATTATATAGTTTATAAGCCACACTGTGATTGTTGAATTTTAATCCTTTAGCATAATTTACCACCAGAAGTATGGGTATTTTTGTCATATGAAGTCATAATTGGTTTCAGGTATACTTTTCATCATAATATTTGCAGATTATTGGTTTACTGAAGTCTCTTTACAATTAAGCACAACAGGCCTACCTAATTAGTTGTATTGACATCAAAGAACACAGTTTTCATTGTAAACCTTCACTTGTTAGTTAAACCAGGGCAATAATTCTTTTGTTTTTTGTCTTTTTGTTTTTTTTTAGTACTGCTTTTTGATCTCCTGATTGTATTCACTGGATACCTAAGACAGATTTTTCAATACAAGAATTATTGTGACATTTTGTGTGAATGAAAAATGTTTGTAGAGTGTTTGGATTAAATAAAAATACACTATTAAACATTATTCATACTGCTGGACTTTAGTTATACCCTTTGATAATGCAGTGAGTGAATGAGTTCGTGTATGAACAAGTAAGTGAGTTAGAAAGAGAGAGAGAGAGAGTGTGTGTGCGTGCGTGCGTGCATGTGTGCGTGCAAATGGGAAACTTATGAAACCGTTACTCCAGAGCTTCTTCCTTATCAGGCTTGTATTGAAGAGAAGCTTTGAATATGTTTATGAGGGTCAATTGAGGCATGACCCTACATTGGAAAAATAATGGTAGAAAAGCTTTAATTGTGGAATGTAAAGAAAATCTTTAAAATGATGTGAAAATCTGTGATGATTAGGGAAGTTTGATAATGTTTTCCAGATGATAAAAAAACGGAAAACATAAGCTTCTCTATCACCAAGATGAGGTGTGGAGGAATTCAGTTGGAACCCCCTAGATATAGTGAGGTTATAAATACCTGCAAAAAATCTGGAGCATAGATGCACCTGCATTTCACAGCAATGTTTAAAAAAAATGTGTAATGTTCCATTTTTATCCCATTTTATTGTCAAGCTGAAAGATTCCAGGAGCTAAACATCAGCTTTGTCTATTTATATATGAGTTTATTTTTTATATACATTTTTTATACACTATCTACTGGGAAAAAATACGGAATTGGTTACCCTGCGGAGATGAGCTTTTTCAGACTTCATTTTAGGTATTATGTGTTGTGTTTGGCCTTGGGTAAAAATGTGAAATAACTGTGATGCATTCATTCGATGAAATATGTAAAGTTTACAGTAAAGTAGGGTGCGAATGGTGTATATTGGTGTGCACTGCTCTGCACCTGGGTTCAAGAGACTAATTTCATTGTGTCACTCAGTGTTGTCCTTTTCCAATAGTACATGGTAGTATATCGCCTGTTGTTTATAGGTTAAACCCAATATTTATGATTTGTGTGTGGAAGCCTTTGATTTCTTATAGTTTTAAAACTATAACAGAATTTAAACATTTACAAATAATCCACCTAAAAGACAATTCAGAAATAACTTAAAAGTTAATGCCAATAAACTTGATCCTTGATAAAAGTTATAAAATGATACCAATTGTGTTTAATTATTTCTCTTTATTTAATGTATCTAGAGGAGCAATCATAACTAATAATTCAAAGATTGCATTTACCCATACTACTAACTTGATATTTAAGGGAAATTTACACAGGTTTGTCCATCCTTACATTCCACTGTTCAGTAACTTCTCTCATAACTACATAATAACACTTGAAATCAGGTCTTCAGTAACTTAGGTCTTGAGTCATTGTAAGTTTCATGAGAATATAATTGTATTGAGTTGCAATATATGTTTTTAGTATGTATTCAACAGTATATTTGAAATTACATATCATGTCAACTTATTACTAGAGTATTCTCAGCACAGATTTAGTATGACAACATTTGTAATATCTTTTTTTGTTACAGTTAAATGTGTTAAACTTTTCACCCTTTTCTCACAAGATATCTGAAGTATCCCATAAAATCTAAAGTAAACTGTATGGACCCTCTTCACTTCCAGCCAAAACTGCTTAGAGATTTATTATATTTTCCTATAGTAATATGTTGTCCATGTAGTTGATATTTTTTAGTAGCAATGGTAATGCTTTCCTTAGGAGGTAGACATGGTGTTTTTGGCTGCCCTTATACTGAATACTTTTCATTATTATTACTATATCATTATTTTGGTAACTTTATCACTGTGTGCCGCTAGGTAAGAACAATACTCATTATATTTAGATCATATTTTGTAATATAGAATCAGCCACACCTGTAAAAATCAAGAAGTACAACATATTAATTTTCATTCCCACAATAACTATAGTCTCTGATAGACGAGTCAAATAAAAAAGCAGAGAATGAAATTGACTTGAAAACATATGCCACACCAACAGCTGAAGTCATTAGCAATACATTCCTATATATTGTTATAAATAAAATATGTAAGTCTTCAAATCATGCTTTGGGTTAGTTCATTATATCTTAATATCATATTGTTTTTTATTTCTGTGGAGATTTATGCAGGTCATAAATCTTTTCTATTCAAATAAAAGTTCCATTATATAAGGAATGATTTTTTTGGAGTGTGCAAAGGATTAATAAAACTACTGTTGGCCTTCTTAATTTATTATGCAATATTGTATGTGCTATAATTGGGATATATATTTAACTTGTGACATTTGTCTATTTACATAAATGCGAAACATTTCCTGGAATTTTCTTTTTTTTATTTTCTTTTAAGAAAAAAAAAGAAAAAAACTGCTACAGCCTTTCTGTCTTTTTTTTCCATATGGATTTTTCTTGTTTTTTGCTGTAACAAATACTTATTTTTCCATATAGAAATTGGTCCATTATAAGGTAATGACAATAATATTACATGCCAAAACAACATAGTGATGATATGTAATGTAACGTGGCCTCCTCAACCATCATGCATATTAACTTCATTTAAGATTGATGTTAGATTTGATTGTACTGTATTGTATGCCTTGATCACACTGTGCAGATGATTGATTATATGCATTCTTGTGCATCTTGCTTTGACTCCTTGGTCATTTGGCTTTCAGGAAAGACATCTCCTTGTGGTGAAAATAAAATCTTGAGATGGTATGATGACTCATCAAGAAGTTGTTGATATAACTGGTGTCACTGACTTAAAAGTTCTTTAATGCTCTTGTTAAAAGACAACCTCACCTGTCAAATCTACTAGTGATTGTGGTGTTCTTGGAAGTACATGGTCAATAAGACCTGGTGTAACAAACTGTTTAAAATATGGAGTTATGATTTCATAACAAATCAAATTTCTTAGTGCTTACTTAAGTGATAACTAAGGAAAGTGATGTATCATTGCTTTGATGCATGCAGCTTTATATATATATACACCTGCCTATATATATAATTGCTGTTATAACTAGAACAACAGTTAAAGTTGGCATTCAATATTTTGTTGGCCTTAATAGTAAAGGTTATAATACTGCCAAGAATATACTGTTGATCCTATAATCCTGATCATTAGATGCTGGAAGACTTAAGGATCCCAAGATCATAGTAGTCATTGTATTGCCATGAAGAAAATAACAAGACATGCCAAGCAAATGTTGGCAAACTTTTATCTAGTATGCTATTTACCATCAACTGTAAAATGTAAATTAATGTTGTTGAGACAGTGCATTTCATCACACTGAAATTTAATCGTATTCATGAATTATACCTAGATCTTGGGAGTCTTCAGTGTCCACCTAAGGGAAGACCCAGGGACTTCAGGTCTATATTTATGGATCAACTCATATGAGTGTGTGTTGAATCTTTACAAGTCACTGACATACCTTACATCCAGTTATTGCCATTCTGTTCAATGGATTTTATTGTCGATTCATTTGTTCTTTTGCTTGAGTCTGCCTTTGATTTTAAATCTAAATATTCAATACATCATTGACAATGGGTATGAGCCTTTGCTAGAATAACACTAGGTACCACATCAACATTTACAATGGTTGGGTGCACGCCTAACACAAAGCCGTTATCTAACTTATAATTGGCAGCATTCACAAGTTACAAAAAGAAACTTTTAACAAGTTGATAGGGTTTCATATTCAACCACAAAAGTTAGTACACTAACTTGGAAAAGTTCATCATGAGTGAGAAACTGAAGTGACCCATTTTTCTGAATGAAAGATATCCTGCTAATTATATAGATATGGTCTGTGGGAGTAATATCTGTTCTCCCACACACAGAAAACATTGCATGTGTGTGGGTACAAAAGATTTAGCATGAACAAAAGGATTTGATAGTTACAGCATAATGAAGAAGTTAATAATTTTGCTATTTTCTGTCTGTTATTTTGGAGCGGGGAGGGAATTTCTGGGTCATCAGTTCACTCTGCGAGATACTATAAAATAAACTTGTCTAAAATCTGCCACCTAAGACTTGCAACTTCTGAGAGTATGTGAATGTATTTAACAATACTGAAGTTTTTTTTCACTAACTCAAAATTTATCACATTAACATGGAGATCAAATAAATACTCTACTCGCATATCCCCATAGGTTTCCATATGACACTGCAGACAAGTTGAAGTTATTCAAATTGCAATTTCAAATTGTATCATTCATCTTACTAGTCTTTGTACTGGAAATTCAAAACCTGTTAGTTTTAAAAACAAGAACATTAGTGTCATAAAAGTACTTCTCACTGCCTTCAATTTCTCAAAAAAATTCAACATTCAAGGCAGTTCATGAATGTTATAATCACAAAGATTTTCAACAAACATTTTTAACTTGAAGCATCACATATAATCAAATCATATGTGGAACAATTTCTCTTCCAGCTAAGAAAATGAAGGTAGTGCTAAAATACATTGTGTACATTAACAAGTACATCCACATACTCAAGGTAAAGACTAGTAGTCTCAAAATCTAAAAGAATAATTGGATTCTCACATCAAATTGATTTATTTTTTTCAACAACTTTAAACAAAGACTGAAATCTGAATAACTGCTTTCCTTAAAAGAAACTGAATAATCCTTCTACATACAATCTACTGGATCCCAATGTCTGTGATACCACTCCAACTACTCTCTATATTTACCCAATATGGGCAATGGAGTAAAATGTCTACATCTGAGGAATAAACGCTCTAAACATTCCATATTCCATGAATGTTCAGTGCCATTTATCCATAGAAGAGTCCATAAAATCACATACAATAGAGCTTTCACATTCTTGATTCACCTGTTATATTGGCAGAAGCAATGAGATTTAATGTGGTAATACTATATCTCGAAACAATGACATTTTCAAAAGTGATCCATGAATGTTCTAAAAGGGGATTGCTTAATACAGAGTAATAATAGTAACAAGTGAAATTCAATGTTGATCATTGTACTCCCATGACCATTACAATTAATTTCTTAGCATGAGATATATCAGGCTTATCATACAGTAAGGTATATTGCAGCATGCAAGGAGTCATGGCCAGAATCTCAAAGTATAAATCTTTTCCACAAGACCCTGAGGTGTGTGATTTAGACAAAAAATCCTAAAATATGAGGTTAATTATTGGGTAAACCAATTGTACCTGTTAATCAACCACATAATTTTGTTGATAATGTGCCTCTGACTCATTCCATTGTCTATATCTAATATTCTATTGGATCTCTGCTAAGGCATTGTCAAAATTTATGTATCTATAATGTCAATCTTCAATTAACATTTATACACATCTCAAAAAGAACAATGCCTTTATTATCACTTTTTATCCTACTGTTGGCTAGACATTTCGATGTCTAAATATATTCATATATATATATATTCACTTAAAACTATCATCTCACTAATATATCTCATTCCTTGAGGATATTTACTGGGTATAGAAAGGGATTTCCAGCAAAGTAGCTGTCATATGTAGTTACTTGACTATCCTTACCTTATCCCATTAATGTCCTTCAGTATTAACAATATTAAACAACCATTAGGATCATCTGAAATTCTTGAAAAATAGCACCCATATTTGCTTTGTCTCTATGATTTTTGGCCGTTAACATTCTTATTTCAACACCACTGATAGACTGCCTTTGGGGTGAAAAAAAAAAAATGTATTATCATCTAAAGTATTCTGAGGTTTTTACATGCTAATTTTTCAACTCTCAGTGCATGGTTAATGTTTATATAATCTTTTGACTTCTGAACAGGGTTTTTTTTTCTCACTCATAATTACAAGTAAAATTAATTTGATCATCAGTTACTCGTATCCTTATAACTTCCATTTTAGTCCTATGTGAATTTACCTTTCTGAACCAATCTCTTCTCTATAGTGTTTGTCTCATATCTCTAAAGACTTAAGAATGCAAAGAATGTTTAGCTCCACACATTCACACAAATTTCTCTGAAAATATACAGAAAATTTTCAACAAACTTGTCTGAATTCTTATCAAAAAAAGTTTTGTGTCAAATCCTCGTCCTGCGTGAGTTTACATTTTGGTTGTAGTCGTGTCTTTCTGGTTTACTTCTACCTCAACGTGGATTTCGTTGCCTGCCATCAGCTTCCCATTGTCCTGGAACGAAGAGAGAAACCGTCTTTTAAAGTTCTCGGTTCCTCCTTGTGTTAAAGCTGTACACAAGAATGATCTTTAAACCTATATAAAACCAAAAATCCTTTTTAAGTATTGAAAAGAATGACCTCGTAGAAAACACTTTTTTCATGAGGTGAAATCCGATGCTGTCCAGGTCATATCCGAATACAAATAAATAGATGATATATAGTAGATAAAACAAATATAATAGTGATAAAAAAGAAAAATTATTATCAAATTTATCTTTAAAATGAAACATACAAAAAGTCCAGTAGAAATCACTCTTTCACAAATGAGTTTCCAAATCAGTGTTAATCAATATAATACAAATTCAAATTAGCTATACCAGTGTTCTGGAGCAAGAACATAATCACACTAACTTATTGCACATAATTTACAATATATTCATTAATAAAAGCAGTAGATGTGTAACACATTTCTAAATGATTCATTAATGGAGAACATTAATCAGAATCCTTATTTCATTAACAGTAAGCATTAATGAGAAACTAAATGAGAAGAAGTTATGAAAAATAAAACATTCATGCAGGGTTATTGCCT